TATCGCTATAAGTTACCAGATATACAGTCAGTCACTTAGCGATCTGTTATCTATTATCTCCAAAATATTTGATATTTTCGGTTTATTGAGCCCCGTGATCATACGTGGAAAAATGTTAATGCAAGCAATTTGGATTCGCCGATTAGATTGGGATGAAACACTATCACCCTATCTAACATTTGGTTGCAGATTAAAGTCGATTTAAACTTCATTAAAAAAAATCGAAGTTCCCCGCCATGTACAAACAACATCCAATTCTGATTGTGAATTTCATGGTTTCGCTGACGCATCAACGCGCGCGTATGGGTATTGCATTTATGTACGTTCTAAGATAAATCACACCTACAAAACAACGTTATTTATGCGAAACCTTAAGTAGCACCTATTGAAGCTTAATCGCTTCCTCGTTTGGAGCTATGTGCAGCACTGTTACTGAGTAGGACTTGGCAAAAACCTAAGGAGAAATTATTGACATTCAGCACTAACATTTATTTTTGGACTGACTCAGAAATAGTACTGAAGTGGTTCCACACTCAATAGGCTACATAAAATTGCTTTGTTGCCACTCGAGTATCTGAAATTCAAGAAATTTCAGCAGGCATCAGCTGGAAATATGTACCAAGTAAGCAAAATCCTGCAGACATTGTTTCACGTGACTGCGGTGCTCAAGATGTTGAAGGTACAATTTGGTTCTCTGGCCTAGAGTTTCTAATGAAAAAATCGTCAGAATTGCCTGTAAGCAAGAAGGAAGCTAACATTAAAATCCACGACATGGAACCACGAAAAGGAATCAAACTCAAGTGTAGGCAGCAACGAAAGGGTGCTGAGCGACGCGAATGACGGAAAAATGGGGTCGAGTGAGCCCCACATCTCCATGAGGCGACAGAGGTCGCAAGAGGGGGAATCCTCCCTCGGCAAGAAGCCTCGGGTCGGAGCTGAGTAGGTGTTAAGCGGTGTGTACGACGATGTGTGGAAGCGGGTAGCGGCTGCTATCTCCGCTGTCTTTATGAAGGTGGTCAGGGGAAGCCTTGGACCACCCCCAAGATGTGAAAGTGTTGCGTGGAACCTCGGCATACAGAAACTTATAAGGTGTGCCGACGAATGGTCGGCATTTCTTTATAAGAAGGAGGTAGCCAGGGTGGGGGAAGTTTGGAAGGGAGCAAGGCTCGAGGCGGTGGTCAAATCGGATCTCCCAATGCGACCTTGGGCTTGTATCTGGCTTCCGGCCGAACTCACTACCCCGAGCGGTACTGCAATCCATGTGTTCCCACCCAAGACTGGAGGGTGGTTAGACTGGATAGGACCTAGGAACCATATCGGCAAGCGCTGATACTTCCAAACAAATAGTCCCTCGCTCCTCTCAGCATTTAAAAAGGAGTCATAAGCTATGGCTTCGAGAGGTCGTTCTTAGGATACTAGATACTAGAGTGGGAAAGATACCCACCCAAAAATGGTTATCGACCCTATCCTCTCGGACGCGGTGAGCACGGGGCGGATCGTCAGGTGATGATGGATCCATCTTCAGTCTCGAGCGTCTGTTCGAGGAGGCGGAGGTCGATAGTACGGATGATGGTGCGGAACTCGCACTGGCAGAAAGCCATAAACTCTTGAAGCATTGTTTTGTTAAAGATTTACTATATATATAATATATAATAGGGCTGCCGGATTGTGCAGCATACACAGTTCCAGTTTGAGTGTTGTCGTGTTAAGTGCAAATGAGACATAAGCAAGAAGTTATAAACTCGATTAACGAGCAATAAGTATTAAGTTGTTGGAATTATAAATAAAGAAAGTGTACAGCCATTAAATTGGGACTTTTATTTAACAATCCAGTGATCGAACCCAATAGTGAGTTACAAGGTAGACGAGTAGGTAGAGAATGGTTAGGAAATGGATAAGTTTAATGATCTGAAGATTTTACAACTAAAAAAAAAAGTTGGAGCAACGTGATTTGACAATAAATGGAGTAAAGGCCGGCTTACAGTCAAGTTTACGAGAGGCTATGGAAGCAGAAAACGTTAATGTTGACAAATATGTGTTTTAATTAGAATTGGAGGAAGAAAAAACGAGAATACAAGAAAAGGAAGAGACTCAATGTTCAACAGAGGTTGTTTTGGCTACAACATCGCAAATGTCAGCGCAAATTTCCCAGATGTCAGCGCAGATAGAGACTGCAGGTTTGCAGTGAAAGATGCACGTATACCAGCAACAGTGTCCTCACAGTTGAAAGAGGAGGAAGCGTATGTACCAGTACAAGGGCTCTCACAGTCAGAAAAGCAAAAAAGCTTGTATAACAGCACAAGGGTTCTTACAAGAGCAGGAAGCGTGTATACCAGCACAGGTGTCCTCTAAATTGGAAGAACAGGATAAAATTAAACCTGAAACGGATGACTCTTTGCAAGAAGGTCCTGAATTGGAAAGTGTAATGCATAGTATGGAGTTGAACCAATGTACAACGAGTGCGGCTGCTAGCATCGAGTATGGAAAAGCGAAAATGGGCAACCCTTCCGAGTTCTTATGGTTGTTCCAAAGCTTAGAATTCCTGAAGTTCTTAACGTGCAGTACAAATGTCCAAGTGGAGGGCACTTGAGAATCACAAGAACCTTGGAGAAATTGAAGCAGAGGTTTTATTGGACAGGCTGTCGTCAATCATCTATAGAGAGGATTGCGAAATATGCAAAGTGCGTTGTAGCTAAAGGATCAAGAACCAGGAGTCATGCCCAGATGAAACAGTACTATTCGGATGCGCCAGAGCAAATGAGCAAATTCGAGTGGATGAAGATGGTCCATTTCACACCAATAGTTTAGGAAATAGTCATTTTTTGGTAAGCAAAAACCAAATAGACAAAATTATACACAATTCCTAATCAAAAGGCTGAACCATTGGCGAACACATTCATCAACAAGTAAGTAACGAGATTCGGTGTTCCAATGGATTTACGTTGTGATCAAGAATGGAATCTCGAGTCAGCTTTAAGTCAAGGGATGTATCAGAAATTGAGTATCCGGAAAACGGATGGAATCAACTCAAGGAAGAGAAAGACGGCTACAGAAGTTAACACCAGCTTAGAAGACGAAATGGAGGGAATATAAGCTCTGTATTTGGTACCGTAAATATGTCTAATCGGAACAGTCAGACTTCGGTGGAGGGCAGTGTGATGATAGAACAAAATCGAATCGACGATAAATTGCCAGAAGCAACTAGTTAGCGAATTGCCCGAATGTTCTAGAAGCGATGTTTTGTTAAAAAGCTACTATATAAGGGCTGTCAAACTGTGCAGCAAAAGCAAGAAGTTGTTAGCTCGAATAACGAGCAATAAGTGTTAGGTTGTTGGAACTAGAAATAAAGATAGTGATCGAACTCAAGAGTGAGTTATAGGTAAACGATTTATCGAGAAATCCGTCACAATATGTTTGTTGTTAATTACTATTAAATAAAATTAAAGGACCGCGGGAAGTGTTTCGAACATTAAGTGACGATACAATCAATTTTTGAAACGTTTTGCTCGTCTTCAGTCATTGGTGTTTTATCCACAGCGCACAACTATGGTGTCCATAATATTTAAAAGCAGGATTTGTAACAACCATATACATATCGTAGTTTGCTTCTGCTGCCTAAAATTAAAATCATTTAAAATGCATTCTTGATAACTACCGGCAGGAAAGACATGCAGAGTTTGTGGACTACCTAGACAAACTATTTCACAACAACAGCAAGACACGTTTTGCCCCAAAAATTTGTGAATAAATTCACGGTGCAACTACATTCACACACTCGTCTTATTTAACTGCTTGCACGAGGGTGATTCTCATACAAACAACGCCCAATAATAAACAATTCTTCATTACACATAAGATTTTTTTTTTGTTATACTTTATGTCAAAATACAAATACGTATTTCATTATTTCAGCAGACTTTGTGCTTCAATATACTCTGTATAGAGATTTCCGACTTACCAGCTGACTTTAATCCGTTTACATTGGTCAAAGTATGATATTTCAATGAAACTAACTGGACTAGTTTTTATTCAAAGTTATAAAATTATAAAAATGGTTTACCGATGTATATGATTGGAGTTGCTCTAAGCCTCATATCCCCAATATAATCAATTCCGATCATCTGGTTGACGTTTGCCACATCAACTCAATATATTACATGTATGTATCTCATTTGAAGATGCTTTAATTATAATTTTAGTTGTCGCGAAGTACTTGTAAAAGATGGCACTTAAATTAAATTAGTCTATGACCTATAACATAACTTAATAAAATACCAAATTTGATTGTATTCTCGATTTCGTAGAATATCAATCGTGAAAGTACGATATTTCCCCGGCTTTAATTCTTGCAAGTTGCAAAAGTATAAATCAGTTACAGCCGAACTTACTGCTTGTTTATAATTTCGTTTATAGCAAAAGTTACTGATTTTGAAATAAATGCATTAAAATATTTTCGCTACTTAAATTAACAAAAAAAAGTTTACGTTTTATTATTTTAAATGAATTAATTAGAATTTAAAGGAATTTATTAAAGAAAATGTCCTTATACCTAACATTGCATAAATCAATACAATGCTACCTAACGCTGCATATCCACAGGAAATGCACATTGCTTACCATCTACCAAATACATTGCCATTGAGGTTGGAAATATTCTTATGCGGTGCATTTGCTATCACGAAATATTCATTCTCGGAATGGCCTTGGGTAGGTATGTTGGTATGTAGCTGATATAGCGCTTGTTTGAGCTCTAGAACTGTTTAAAATTTTATGAGCATGATAAAAATTTATGTTGAGGATGAAAAAAGTAGACATCTCCTTTTTTATACAAATGTATGTTTTGGAAAAATAAGATTTTATATTGTTAGACTTAAAAAAATTTTGCAAAAAGAAATGCAGAAAAACTAGATTCGAGTTGCTGGACTCTTTTTGCCCGTGTGAATGCAATGAGCGACACCAAAAGAGAACTTGAAAAAAATGAGGGTCAAAAGAGTCCTAATGTAAAAGCACACTTAGGAATATGAGAAAGAGAAGTATCCACGATTTTGTTACACAGAAAACTTTACATCGATTATTATGGTTTCGATACTTTCCGTAAAACTCAAATAACTTCTTTCTTTTCCACACACGCTTCCGGTCAGAGCACATGCAAATTGTATATGGTAATTTTGGCTTCTTTTAAATATTTTTTATTGTGATTAATGATACAATTTACTCAATGCCAAATGCTATGATTTATTAACGGGAACCAATGTTCTGTCATTATAAATCGAACCATAAAATAATTTATGAGAAGAACGTACTTCAAAGTCTCGACTATATCGCACCAATTTTTTAATCTTTAGTTTTTATATTTATAATCGGCTATAGTTGTAGTTCGTCGTTGTGAAGGTCTTCTACCAAATTTGAAAGTTAAACTGAAAAATTTATAGTGGAATTGTATGTTCAACTTTCTTATCCATTGTAGAATGTAAAAAATGAGGACAATCAACTCCAGCCAATGTGTTAAAATACCTAAGGGGATAAAAGCTTCGGTTAAAGCGCGTATAGTAAAAATAACTGGAGCTCGAGGTTGTTTAGTCCGAAGCTTTAAACATCTTGCCTTGGACATGTATATGGTTGATAAACGTACTTTAAAAGTAGAAAAATGGTTTGGAGCGAAAAAGGAGCTGGCGTCTGTTCGTACTGTTTGCAGTCATATTGAAAACATGATAAAAGGTAAACTAGCAAAAATTATGAGTATATATTGTATCTTATTTATTCTTCTAAGGTGTGACGTATGGATTCCAATATAAAATGCGTGCAGTTTATGCTCATTTCCCAATTAACTGTGTAACTTCGGAAAACAACACTGTAATCGAAATTCGAAATTTTCTTGGCGAAAAATATATTCGTCGTGTACAAATGGCTCCTGGGGTGACTGTAGTTAATTCCACTGCACAGAAGGACGAATTAATTGTAGAAGGTAATGATATTGAGGCTGTTTCTGGCTCAGCTGCATTGATTCAACAGTCAACCACAGTTAAAAACAAGGACATCCGTAAATTTTTGGATGGCCTATATGTATCTGAAAAAACTACTGTTGTGAAAAAAGAAGATTAAATACACATAAAATAAAGGTAGCACAATAATCAAAAAATGTTTTTTTTTTATCGTATTGACCTGCTACAATTCTTTAACTGGTTTTAAGATATTGGTCTTTTTCGGTAATGCCATAAAAACTGGCAACACCGCTGTTTGCAGTGCTGATTTTATGCTGGCTTGAAACTGTTGGAAACTGCGAAATTGAAAATTTGTATTTTCAAACAAAAATTAGCAAGATGGTAAAAATGATCGATTTCTATTAGAAAGGTACAAAAAGAGAACGAATCGTGTAAAGAAAAAAATTTATTAATTGCGAACTAAGTCAACGGATTATTCCAAGAAAGCCTTAGTGCGCTTGTGGCAATCTGTTTCTACCATATCCTATAAAATTCAAAAAATCCACATATAACTAAAGAATATTAAAATTATATTTAACATTAAATAATCTTAAATATTGCACTAAAGCAATTTTTGCACTATATAATGTAAAATAAATGTGTATAAAGTGTTAGTGAATATAAAAGTGTAAAATTGATTTTAAATTGAAAAATACGTACTTTAAATTGTTAAAATTTCCAACTGTAAACGCAAATATCTCGAAAACTATAAAGTTTTCGGCGTCTGCATCTATCTATATTATTGATCTGAGGGATCTCCTCTATCCGTCCACACTCTAAATCCTGGGACGGTATTCTAAAGTTTGCCCGGTTGTAATGCTAAAGAAGCATAGCTCCAATACTCTTGTTTTAATGGTATTGTAGGCAGTTATAACCTAACTCAAGATCAATGCAATTTTTTAAATCTTACAAAATGTATGATACCATTTATGTCTACAACGTGAGACATGATTCAAGACTTAATCAATGGGCAAAACCAACTGCTGAATGCCTTAAACACATATTTGAAAAAGTGTTACTGTCAAGTTGTCTAATTTGCTCTATGAATTAATACCAACACACCAGTTTGGGTTTCCTGCATTGTACGGTAGATCAAGACTTAATCAATGGGCAAAACCAACTGCTGAATGCCTTAAACACATATTTGAAAAAGTGTTACTGTCAAGTTGTCTAATTTGCTCTATGAATTAATACCAACACACCAGTTTGGGTTTCCTGCATTGTACGGTAGATCAAGTAAATATAAATAAAGGAGGAAAGTAAGTTCTGTATTTTTTTTTGATGTCGGTGTTCGACATGATGCGTCATGGAGGCCTTTTATATAAAAGTAAAACATTATTACCTTTACCTTTATCATACCCTTATTTAAAAAAACAGGAAATTTGCTGTTAAAGCATAGATATGGGCTGGTAGACCTCAGGGCAGTATGCTTTCGCAAATTAATAACTTCAGAACGAAATAAACCATCTCCGTTCTGGTATATTTTAAGGTACATGTATTTATACATGTTTTAAGCATAAACAGTAAAATTGTAAGTAAATATCTAGTTATACGAGATCTCTGACGCACGTAGGTCGATTTTAAGAATTTTGTTAGTCAAAAATATTACACCATATTTTTTTTCTTTTCTTGGCTAAATTATATTATTTGGTTGTTGTTGTAACAGTTATCTAATCCCCGCTTGAGTGGTAAGTTTCTGTTTGGTTGTCGTCGAAGTCATCTAACGGGAGTCCCAGGAAACGAGCTCTGTCGACGTGATTGGACCATAGGGAAATGGTGTTAGATGAGTGGGGTTCGTTGAGCATGCAAAGAGGCGGTTAGTGTCACGTGGAGACTCATTGCATGTAGGAGATATATTTGGTATGTCGGGGTCGATTCTGGATAAGTAGGAGTTTAACCTGCTACAGTATCCAGAACAAAGTTGAGCAAAGGTCACTCTAGATTCTCGTGGCAACTCGAGCTCTACGTCTGCGATGGGTGGTGGTTTGACTCCAAGTACGCCATTCACTGAGAGGGAATCGCTGAAGGTGTTAATAGCTCCACTGTGAATGGCGGTCTGTGCATGTCTAAAGTTCGTTGCGTCCGAAGTCTGGTCGCCGTACTATCCAATGTCGTTGACGTAATCAAGGAAGGACCTCTTGATATTCCTAGGAGGCCGTTCCGCTTCAAGCAGACGACTGCAGGGGTGATTTTTACGAAAACATCCCAGCGAAAATTGCTTGGAGAGGAGCTCTTTACGTTCCTTAACCGGAAGCATACGGGCGTCAATGGTGGTTGGGGAAGTTTCGAGATGTAGAAAGCGGGGAGCGGACACCGCCCTGCGGAACCCCTGTTTAATTCTTCTAAATTTGGAGTTTTGACCTCGAAACAGTACGGATGAATGCCGACCGCTCAGGTAGTTCATAGACCATCGCTTCAGCCCTGAAGGGAGCGTGGATTGTTCTAGGTCCTCAAGTAGCGTTGTGTGATTGACTGTGTCAAAAGCTTTTGATAAGTCCAACGCTACGAGAATCGTCCTCTCGCAGGGGGCTTCTGGTTTAGGCCATGAACTATCTGGGCGTTTATGGCGCTAAGTGCTGTGCACTTTCAGAAGCCATGTTGATGGTCTGCTAGACTCAGGTGGTGAGAAAATGTCGGGAGTAGCAAGGCCTCAAGTGTCTTCACTACTGGAAAAAGGAGAGTTATCGGACGATAAGACTCCCCTTTGTTGGCGGGTTTCCCAGGTTTCAGTAGTGGGACCACTCTTCCGACTTTCCACACATTGGATATTTGAAGAGTGGACATCGACAAGTTGAGGACCTTGGTGAGGTAGCTTACTCCCGTCGAGCCTAGATGTTTTAGCATCAGCACATTTTTGATGGCACTCTGATCATCCCCATCGGTGAAAGTAAGTGGTGCGCAGTCTTTTAGCATTTTGCGCAGCCGTCGGGTAACACATCGTTCGCCTTGTTCGTCGAAGGGTGCAGTGTAAACTGCCGGCTAAAATAGCTCGCGCACTTCTTCGGGTCCGAGAAGGCATGTCCACCGAATTGAATTTCAACTCGGTCGTCATGTTTCCTCGGATTAGACAAAGCCTTGACAGTAGTCCAAAGCTTACTCACACCGGTAAAGAGGTTGCAGGACTTTAAATGCTCTATCCATTTTGTCCGCTTAAGCTGGTTTACCATTTGCTGAATCTCCAAATTTATACCGACCCAAATAGGGTTAGATCGCCGAAATTACAGGCCTTGGCCGGATAAAATATAGGTCAATTCCGGTAACGTAGAACCGGCTGTTGTGGGAATTGTTTTATTTGTAGTATGTATGTATGTATCTAAGTATGTTTTATTAAGCAAAAACGAGAATAAATTAACAAAAATTAAGAATTTTACCATATATTTGTTATATAAGTAGTTATAACATTTTTTTGTATGTATTTATTTCAAAATAATATATAATGTGGTACAAATAATTAATTGGTTTATTAATTCTTTTCTGTTACTTTTTCCTTGAGTTTGTAGTGTGGTGTTTGGTGCGTGAACTATGTCGCCCAAACTGAAAGTAGAGCGCATTTCTTCAGTCCTCCTTCGTATAGTCCTCTCACTACAATTCGATCGTTCCATATAACCCATTCATAAGCTTTAAGAAATACAGCTTTCTTTCTGTGAGCTTTGGACCATTTTTCTGCAAATCTTTTATTATCAGGTGTGTCACCATAACAGGCCAAAAAGAAGTTTTGTAAATAATTTATTTTTCATCCAAATAAACCAGATTTTGAAGCTGAATTGTATCATAAAGATAACGTCGGGTCACTATTTTTACGCCAGATGTATCTAAAGCTAAACAATTTGCACTTTATAAAATTGTAAAGAAAAATTGTATTTTATTTTTTTTTGACTTCCAATCTTAAAAAACCTTTAAGTCGGACATCCGCAGCCATCCGCACTTAAAATCTCTGTCTTAAGCTAGACTTATATGTAAAAAAATTTAAAACAAAAAAAAAATTATTAGGAAAGAGAAGGCGATAATATAACTAAATTATATTTGAACAAGAAAATTAACAAAAAAAAAATATTTGCTTGCATATCCTCAATACAAAAACATTTGAAATTAGAAAATCTTTTTTTTTTTTAAATTTTTACACTAGGTGTGCCCCTAAATAATAGCGCTAGTGTGTTGGCAAAACTTTATATTAAAGTAGGGAAAGTACCGCCGTGATTTTATCCATTTAAGGATACACTGTTATTAGAAAGAAATTCTTTCTGAATTTTATTAAGATTTCTTATATATTGACCGAAAGATATTGTATAAAGTGAACCAGAAGTTCTTAAATATTTATGTTCAGTATATGGGTGCTAAGAGAAGTGTTGTCCTGCTGTTACCCATTTTTGGCACGAGTTTTACTTCGATTTCCACAATTTTTGGGCGTAAGATGAAATACCTTGAGGGCAGTATTTGTACAAAGTTTTATTCTGATAACTTTATGTCGTTAATGATGTTTGATTTATATACTGTAAATTGAAAGTATCAGATGGAGCTAAAAAGTTTGCTATATGGGAAGCACGCGTGGTTGTCTTTCGATTTCGCCCATTTCCACAATGTCTAAATTTGGGTAACACCACACACCATTAGGTTGAAACTGGGCAAGTACTTCCTAAAATATGAGATTTCATCTAAAAGTAGGCGAAGACACGCACATTGTCCAATTGTTACATCAGCTCCTATAAAGCCCTTATCTACCATCTTGGTTGTGAAAATTATTGCTTGTAAAGAGGTGATAAAATTACTTCTTCTCATCAAGTTTGGTTGATATATCTTTACCTGTTGGTAAGTTATATGCATTACGGGAGGAAATTGTTTTTTAGCCCACTATTACTATTGCGATCTCCTGTACAGTAAGTGTACCAAGTTTCACAATATCAAAATTTTTACTTAAGGTATTACTTGCACGCACAGACGGACGGACGGACGGACAGCGTCATTCGGAATTCAATTCGTCTCGTCATCCTGATCAATTATATACACATAAATACATATTTTTATAATTTCTGTATGATTTATCAAACAAAAATCTGTTTTCGTTAACTTTTTAAATTTTCCTGCATTTTTGAAGAATTTGAATTTGAAGAGAACAGTTGATAGTGGTACCAGAGGCTTAGCTTATAGGAATGTTGTTGTTCTGCACAGAAAAATTCAAATTTCACACGCCATGCACATCTGCACTGAGGTGCAGAACAACAACTGTCAATTAAGTACACATTTTTCTGAAGCATGAAAAATTTACACAGGTATTTTCGGCATTACGCATTCAAAAAATTAACATACATACATATTTGAATATGTAGTTTAAGAGGTGAAACTTAACAAGTGTAGTAGTGAATTGGTTACCTCCGTCTTGTAGGGATAGTTCACTTTGAAACAAATGA